CATTAATATGTTTCCTTCCGAACTAATAGGAAGACCTATAGAATGCCGATTCTTCTCTTCTAAAATAACGAATAACTTTTTGGGATTTGTCTTTACAATGATCTTTTGTTATTTGATTTGCAGGGAAAGTTGGATTCACAGTTGTTTATCAGTGCATGCATAGACTTGACGATTCTTTGTACGCTGTGAAGAAGATACCTTTTAATGATCATCAGCTTCAGGAAAAATTAAGGTGATATTGTTTGTTTAGCATAAGATAACTTTATTGTACGTTTTCAAACTAAAAATGTTTGTTCTTCATAGGGAGGTGAAAATACTTGCAGCTGTACAACATCATAGGGTTGTACGTTATTATCAGGTATATCTATTTTTCTCTCTATGTACATATACCTTATGACCCAAACCAGTATCTGAGACTGACATCCTATGTGGAAATAATACAGTGGCATAGACGGGTGGGAAACCCATTATTTTTTGCTTTGAAGAAATTATATCCTAGTTTGTTTTCCAGAACTAAGTTTAAATCTTTGTTTTGTGATGCTTGTGAATTTTTCAAGCATATTAAATACTTTTATCTTTTGAATGATAATAAAAGTACAACTCCGTTTTTGACTATTCATATTGATGTACGAGGTCCTACGCAAACAATTTCGTTGTCTGGTAGTCGATGGTTTTTCTTATTAGTTGTTGCACTAGGATGACTTGGGTGTATTTGTTAAATGCTAAAATTGAAGTTTTCTCATGGTTTGGTCATTTCATAAGGTGATCTGTATCCAATTTGAGACTAAGGTAAAAAATCTTGCGAACTAACAATGTCATATAATACATGAATAAAAATGTTGGTGCTTATTTGGAGTCTTATGGGATACTCCACCAATTAGTTGTCCTTATACTAGTGCACAAAATGGGGTTGGTGAAAGAAAAAATAAGCATTTGTTAGAAGTGACAAAATCTTTTATGTTTACTATTAATCTACCAAAACCTTACCGGGGAAATGCCATTCTTATAGCTGCCTATCTCATTAACATAATACCACTTAAAATCGTTAATTTTCAGACAGTGTTAGAAAAAGCGGTCGCTTCCTCGCTTAAAGCGAGAAGCGAAGCGAAGCGACCCCTTCCTCGCTTCTGCCATGTGAAGCGACTCAGGTAGGAAAAAGCGACCGCTTCCCACTAAAAAGCGACAAGCGACCAAGCGAAGCGACCAAAGCGAGCACTTCTTTGTTTTAAACAGCTGCCAGCCTATTTAATTAAAAAAGAAGGGTTTTCAGTGTTCTTTTATTAAACACAACCAGCAGAGCATCTGGGAGTCTCTGCGATTAGGGTTCTTCAACAGAGATTCTAGCAACAGGTATGTGATGATTTTCTCTTCTTCTTCTTATTTCTTCTCTTCTTCTTTTGACTTCTTCTCTTCTTCTTCTTCTTCTTCTTCTTCTTCTTTTTCTTCTGACTTCTTCATCTTCTTCTCTTTTGCTGTTTCAACGTCCAAATAGTAGCGAAATGTTGGCGATTTTTTTTTTTACCTCGGTTCTTTCCCAGAATCCAGCAACAGAATTTAAGCGAAATGGCCAAAAGGATTTTTTAAATTCCGCTTCACTTCAAAAAAGCGAGCGCTTCGCTTCTCGCTTTAAGCAAAATGGGGGTTGTCGCTTTTCCTCGCTTCACGCTATTTTTAACACTGTTTTCAGAGTCATATGGAAGCTTTAAAGGTAAGAATGATTATATCGTTCCTTTGAAGGTATTTGGGTGTGTCTGCTTTTTTCACACTAGGAACTTTGAAAAATTGATCCTAGAGCTCTTAAATGTGTTTTTATTGGGTATTCTCCAACACAACTAGGGTAGAAATGCTACCATCCTTCCTCTAGGAGATCTTGTATCAGCATGGATGTTACCTTTCAAGAATCTGAGTCCAGTATTACACAGTCACCTCTTTAAGGGGAGAGTTATACGCAGAAAGAGATGATTCTCTCAAGTTCCACTGCTGAAACCACTATCACTATTGGGAAAAGTGAAATTGGAGGAAAAATTCAGGGGGATATTATTGGGCATCGGATAGGCCTGATTTGAAAATTTACTTTAAGGAGAAATAGAGTAGAAGAAGCCATTATGCAATCTACCAAAGCTGAACCTTCTTCTACTAGTGAGTTATCTATATTTTCTAATGAGTTAGATTGACTATTGCTTAAAGAAAAGGAGTTAGATCTTAAAGTCCTCCTCATAGGGTTTCAGGATCAAGTCAACAAAAGCCCTAAAAGAAATATCTACTGGAAATGGAGCAAGGTCTTTGTCAATGCTCCAAAACCTGTTTCGGGCAAATGAATCTATGCGGCTCAAGAGAGCCACGATTTGCAAACTGTGGGAAACATATAGGAATTGTTTCTCCTTACTAGTAGAATACGTCATCTTCTAAATGCCTTTTATCTAATTCCATAACCCCTGCTAGTTCTGGATTAAATGAGAAAGGTTTTCCCTCGGTGTTGGTGTTTCTAATTCGAGACGTCAACATCAAATCTCCACCAGGACATAACGCTATCCGCAACCGAAAAAGGAGTCAGATCTTGCACCTCCAAATACCCTTCATCTAAATTTGTCTCCTATAATTCTTTGTTTTACTCCTATAGAGCATTTGCCTTGCCTATTTCTTTTGTGTCTATTCCCCAGAACTGGAGGGAAGCTCTTGCAGTCCTAAATGGAAGCAAACTATAATTGAAGAATTGAGTGCCTTGTCAAAAAATTAAAACTTGGGAACTTGTCACTTCATCACCAGACAAGAAGTTGGTGGGATGCAAATGGGTCTTCAATGTGAAGCACAAATCAAATGATTCGATTGAAAGATTCAAAGCAAGATTGATAGCCAAGGGATTCGCTCATGCTTATAGCATAGATTATCAAGAAACATTTACCTCTATTGCTAAAATGAACACTATTAGAATTATTTTACCATGTTTGGTTGGCGAGTGGATTTT